GGGTAATTAAGCTCCTCTTTGACAATCATTAAAATTTTTTATTTTTATTTTTTAAACTCATTTTTAATTACACATTCTCTCAATAATATATTTTGTCCGTAAATCCGAAATTTTCTAACCACGCATTCTTCAAAAAATCATTATTCAAAAACATATTTTCCTTATACCAAAACTCATTTTCCTTAAAAAAATATCTTTTTAATAATTGTCAAACAGGAGCTAAATAGCAACGGGTTAATTTCACAAATGGTCACTGAATTTACCTAAAAATCAAAAAAGGGTCACTGAAATTTAAAACTTGCAGAAACGATCACCGTAGTTTCATGCGCTTTCACAAACGATTACTTAAGTTTCAATTTCTTTCACAAACGGTCACTGAAGGACCGTTATGATTTAAATTCAACCTTAAATGACAAAACACATGAACATGGAACCATAAGGACCTCAAGTGCAAATTTCATCNCAAATTTCATCTAAAAACCAAAACAATTCCCTTCTCAACCCACCAGCTTTGGACAACTATAACTCCAATCTCAGGCCACCTTGGCCTCCGAAACAATATACCACCTTGAAGCCCTCGCTACCCTCTACACAATCCACCCAATAATCAACCCTAACTCCATTAGATTTCGCCGGAATTCCGTCCCAAAGTCGGCAGGTCGCACAAGATAGCACTGCAGCCGCCACTTTGGGAAGAAATTTCACCAGTTTTCGGCCACCAAAACCACCGGACAAACACACCACATTGAAGCCCTTGCCGTGCTCTACGCAACCCACCCAAGAATCACCCCTAATCACCGTCGGATTTGGCCGTAATTTCGTCCCAAAGTCGGCGACTCGCATAGGACAGCACTGCCAGCAACCACTTCAGGACGAAATTTCACCACTTTTCGACTACCAAAACCACTGGAACAACACACCACATTGAAGCTCTCCCTGTCCTCTACGTAACCCACCCAAGAATAGCCCCTAAATCAGTCGGATTTTGCCGGAATTTTGTTCCAAAGTGGCAACTGGCAATGCTGTCCTGTGCGAACGGCCGATTTGGGACGAAGTTTCAACCAAATCCGACGGATTTAGGGGCGATTCTTGGGTGGGTTATGTAGAGGACAGGGAGGGCTTTAAGGTGGTGTGTTGTTCGGGTGGTTTTTATGGCAAAAAAGTGGTGAAATTTCGTCTCAAAGTGGTGGCTAGCAGAGTCGGTGAATATGTTATTCAGGTCGAGATTTTTTCGAGGAAAATGGTTGAAAATAGTGTTAACTTGTCGAATTATAGTGTTGAGAAAACTTCGGGTTTTGAGACTAATGCTTTGAGGGCAATTAGAAGTCCATCGATCTGCTACGGATATATGAGCATAGAGGTCACAGTACTGAATGTGAGTACTTGAAAGCCAACCACAACGCAATTCAGGGTTTTTTTTCAATTACGTTAAGTTCTTTTACTGTGATTGGGAAAAGTATAAAGCTTTGAGGTATTAGGTTCTAGTCCTTAGGTTGGTAACTTTGTTCTATTTATTGGAGAATATAGCAGCCGATTACTTCTGCTGTTGTCTCGAGAAGCTTGCAGATTTGTTGAAATCGTCCCCCACAGTTGCAGGGGTAACTCTGCTTCCTTTGGGGAATGGGGAGCTTGACATGTTTGCTAGTATTGCAGCTTTTATGGGCAACAATTTAATTAAACGAATGGCCACTTAACTTTATCCATGGTTACTTCTTACTCATTGAAAATTAAATGGTTACTCAATACTCATTGAAATATTCATTAATTTATCCATTTATCACCATAGCCAATTCCATCTATACGGGTGAATAAATGTTTCTACGTGGCAGATGAAAAAAATGAATTGGCACACAAATTGGGTGAATCATAACCACATCATCAAAAATTTGTATTTTATAAATAATAAAAAACATTAAATTGAAAACGTTTCTTCCCCAAATCACGACATTCCTCCTTAGATTTAAAAGCCGAACCAGGTGCTTCCATGACCATGACACCATCTCTAAAGCGTCGACAATGATTCAACCCACAGAATTAGAAAGAGAATTATTTGGGGCCGATGAATTCAGTACAACTCCCGAGAAATGGGTTGAATTGAGAATGAAAGTTCTAAAGGAAGTAAATGGTGAGATTTTCAGGATTTGAGTGTCCATTTGGTGTAAAATAATTTAAATTTTGCGCACTCAATATGGCAGTGCCCAGTAGCATTGTCCAAGAAATTCGGCTAAATTGTCACTCATTCCCTCTTCCTCAATCTCACTAGATACTGCCCCCACCCCAAAAATCATATATATGTGTGCACTTATGGGCTTTTAACATGTTATCCTTGTGTTTGTGCAGAAATGCATACAGGGAGGATAATTCATTTTGATTATTGTTTTCAATAAATCAAGTTGCCCCATCAAATTCAAGAACCCTTCACCACAATCCAAGAAGAAGGCGCAAGTTAGGACACGAGAGCAGAACAATTATTTGAAGAGCAGAATTTTCAGAATCAGCTCCCCAAGAAGAGTGCCACCATTATTTTATAGAAATGGATTCGGGGAAGGCAACGAAATTACTCTCTAACCTAGGAAGCATCTTTGAAAACCTAAGAAAATCCCACCGTTATCTGAACTGACTTAAAAAACAAAATATTGGGATAATCATGGTAAATATTGATTGTGCAGAGATTGATAATAATGTTAGAGAAGTCATCATTTACAAAACAATTTATGATGATGTGGAGATATTAACCGATTCCATGTGCAACGTCATCTTTTCATCTGCCATGTAAAACTTTTTTGCCAAACGTACAGACGAAAAATTGATGAACAATTCAACGAGAATTTGGTAACCTTTTTATTTTCGGTGAGCAAGTGGTAATCAAGGATAAATTACAATGACCATTCATTTAATTAACTCGCAACATTTCGAGTGATGTGTGGTTGAATAGTATTGTTGGGTGGAGTGGGAGAGGTAGTGGTGACAGACGAGCCGAGCCGAGCCGGCTCGGCTCGTTGCCCACAAGCTCGGCTCGTTACCCACAAGCTCGAGCTCGTGGCTCGTTTTATTGTGCTCAGCTCGTTTGCTCGTGGGCGAGCTCGGCTCGGCCCACGAGCTCGTACTGTAGCGAGCCGAGCCGAACTACTCAGCTCGGGCTCGCTTTTTTTGAATTTTTTTTTTAA